TTTACCTTCTTTCATTTCCCAGATTCTGGACTTTATCTATTGACCGGTTTTGATTTTTATTTTGATCTATTTTGAATTGCGTGACTCTGAAAACCAGCAATACTCGATCAGGCGATTCTAAATCAACACATTATCTTCTGTCATATTTTTTTCGGTTCAGCACTCTAAAAGGTGCCGCAAAAACTCCCGCTGAGGACCTTTGAGGCACCAAAACCACTTTTTAACCCTAAAAGGTACGACGAGCACCCCCGTCCTTTTTGTATGGGAGTGCCCCCACCCCTCCCCCTCCCCCCATTCCCCGGGGCTCTATACTGTACTTAAGCTTACTTAATTGCCTTTGAAACGTGAAGTACTAATGATCAAACAGCGGTTCCTGACGATAGACGAACAACACTGACAGTTTCGTGGTTACTGCCTCGCAGGAGAAAAGGTGCAGAACAGACTGAATTGTAGGTGAGTCATGAGTGTACGAGTACATGCTTGAATGGGTGAGTTCCCGCCGACTTCCCAGTTAAATAACGTAGCAAAGCTTTTAAATACTTTTTGATGACTACCATATATTTGCAATTTGTCTTTTACAGCCTTGTTTTCCATATTTTCAACGATTAAGTAGAATTCAGTTCAGTACATATTCTCCGATACATCTCAGCTCATCTTCATTACTAGTTCACTCAGTTTCAGTATCTTCATGTTGGTTGCCAGATTCAGTCGCTTGTAGCAGTCTGCTTGCCTTCTTAACATTTTGCACGGTTTTCGATTTTTGCAAGAGAACGCCTGAAACAGATAAAGATAATAGAATTGTAGCTAAACAATCATAAACTAAAATGAAAGGTTAGAAAGTTAAAACTAGAAGTTAAAAGTTAAACTTTTAGCTTAAAAACGTCCAATAGGCTAGAATTTAAAGACAAGAGTGTTCAGGGTTTTTTTTAAGCATTTGCTAAAAATGTGATGGGATCACCCCTTTAACCAGTATAGTCTATAGTCACATTTACCTGAAGTAACAAATAAAACTACACCAAAAAACTAGATCAGAAATATTATAGCGTCAATAAACGAGGTATACCAATAGCTGCTGTTAACACTGTCGAAAACCAGGACAAAGTTTAATGCTAAAGCTTCCACAAGCTATAACCAGTAGGTGTTTTCGTATTATTGATGAATCTTGCCCGCAGTAAAAGTGACTTACTGAAAGCGATATATAATGTTCTGTATGAACTATCATACAGACCTACATATACTTTTTAAAAAGGCAGGCCGGTATGTAGATTATATAAAAATGCAAGTACCTAAAAATATATTTAAGATCACTCTCCCTGATATAGCACCTTCTTTCAAATGGTTCAAACCTCGGCGCGATTTCTTAAACAACTACAGTTACCTCCTCTAGCTATGTAACACCAGCAGCATCAATAGCACAAATAGTACAACTTAACTATGTTTGAGCGGAACATCTTGTTCAAACTCGGTAACGTATGTGTGGGCATTGCTAACGTCTGTATTCTCAACTTGACGTATCTCTCTCAGGCAGTAATAGCCAGAAAAACGTGAAACATACCCCGGTTTGGTTATATATAACTGCAAAACGTAGGTTAACAGATAGGTTAACGATATAAATTACCTGTTTTTCGAAGTGGTCGCTTTCCATCCGTTGGAAAAGGACCAACGAATCCTTCACAATCTAAAATCCACGAGGCAAGTAAGACGCTCAATATCAAAGTAACTGCCAGCTTTGACTTCATCTTACTGTTGAGCCTGCAGAAAAAAATATCAGCCTGTACTCTTCTGAGTGTGTATCAAGTGACACCTACAGGAACTTCTCACAAACTATTCACCAGCCGTTTTATACAATTATCGGGAACCTCACTCGGCGCGTTACCTTCCGGTGACCAAGGTTTCTCTCCCGTTATTTCCTTAACAACCAACGTAATAGTATTGCGTGTGCGTCAGTCGGTAAAATTGGTTGGTTGGGTGATGGTGGTGTTTGTTCTTTAGTTTATTTCTCCTGCCAGTTACTTTGAAAAAAAGTAAAAGCTGCCTACCACACTTAGCGAGAGTACATCTCAGTTTGGATACAAAACATTTCACTTAAGCAAGATATTTCAGCTATTTTTAAATATTTTGTTCATGTTTGCAAAACTTTGTTCTGCGTCGGAGTCAATGAATTAAGTTACGAACGCGTGCGTCATCACAATGACAGAAATGATTGATTTCGACGTCGTCTCTATCTCTTCTTGTTCATTTTCGACAGTTCTGAGAAACAAACAGTACAAAGGTACTGATTACAGGCTGGTCACTAATTTATCAACTAAATTAAGTGGCCTTTCTAGATTTTTACAAAAGAAAAAAAAAAATTGAAAACCTGTCCAAGTGCATTAAAACATTCCTTGGAATGTATCATGGCTTTTTAAGGACTGATACTACTAACAATTACTCGATTTTAAAGTAGTCTATAAATTATATTAATACACAATATAAGAAATGAAGAAGAGATGTTCCACTTCACCTTGAATTCAGGCAGGTTATAATCCTCCCACGAACGGAGGGAGTTAGATGAAAGAAAACTATTCTGTTTAATAAAATGGTGAGTCTAGCGTTTGTCAGTGTTTCCAAATTCAGTTTTGTTAATTAATTTCCATCTCGTTTGTAACCCTCTTCTTCTTTATGAGTTCCTGAAAGTTATTTGTCGTCAGAGCAAAATCTAATTTTGGGAACGTTTAATTAGTCGGCTTCTCAGAATTTACACTTTGCTTTTAAACTAACGTTGAGCGTGATTTTTGCTTTGTCGCAGAAACAAAAACAGGCGATAATTACTCATGCAAAACAGCGTTATGGGGGGCAGATAGCGGAACGGAAAGAGGTTTCTAAACGGCCTGACAAGACAGTCTAAGAGAGTGGAAGGATGTGTGGGGGCCGAACTATCTCATTACTACAGTTTGTTTAGGTATTTTTTCGTCCGCCGGAGGCAGCAAAAAAAATTTGGACTGTAGAAAATCGGTTTGATACTTAATCAATTTTGGATTTTGGCAACTGTTACAGATTACTAAGCATCTACTGTACCATTCTAATTTAGATTCTTATCGTCTTCCTTTCTTTCTTAGCGGAAGGCTCATAGTGTTTGTACATTAAGTGTTTTTGACAAATAGTTTTGACAAACAAGGGATAAAGAATGTTTTCTTTTTCCTATAGAACATGGAAATAAATTTAACACAACAATTAAGAGGTTTCCAGCCAAACGTTAGGAACAGCTATAACGTTTTGGCTCGTATTCATTCATTGATTCTCACCTCTCCGGAAGCGCTCTTTAGAGAGTGCATCTCATTAAGTAAACGAATATTCCTACTCACCTCTCTGCCCGCGACAGTCCTGACTCAGAGTCTGCCTCGGTGTCCCAGCTGTACATACTCATATTGCTTAAACCCTGAATGAATGAACGACTCCAGAATCGAAAAATAAAAATCCCTGTGGAATTTAAAGTTGTGCATCCATGCACGTGTACTTAAACGATTAGACTGTATTCTCTCTCATTGGCCAAGTTACTGTCATAAAAGCAAGAAATAGATCTTTTTTTGGAATTGCACTTCAACCCTTTTGTTGCTTTTTGTCAGGGTGGCAAAGACACTAAGAAATACCGCAATTTAAAACGTTTACACTCTTAGTGCGTGTGTTACCGCAAGACAATTCCTGTTACTCTCACTTGAATATCAACACCTGTCACTCAAAAAGCATTTTCGATGAAAAAGAGGAGAAAATTAAAGTGAAGCTCATACTGAAAAGAGATAATTCAAACTTTAAAATCATTTATTTGCTTTCAGCTGGTATACATTATTTTATCTTTAACATATCTTACAAAAAGTCTCCGACGCGGAAAACCTCAGATGATTACCCTTATAAAATGAGAATAAATTTCAAAAAAGCTCCAAGATAGGGGTTCACACAAGGAGCTCCTAGCAACTGCACCATTAGGCCCCGTTCACAATAAGACGGAGGAATTCGAAAACGGAGCTTATTCAGCCGTCCGTCCACACTAATCCGTCACGAAAACGGAGCTTTTCGAAAACGCTCTTCAAACCGGAGGAATTTTAAAAAGCCGGCTTTGTGTTTTAGTGTGGACGGAAAACATTTTGAAAACGAAGCTTCTCGTAAACGATGACGTCACGATTATCATGATATTCTCCTGCTCAAGTTTTACTCAAACACAAATACAAAATGACCGCTGACTGTTGCGTTTTCATATTTCTCCAGCGTAGTGTGCACGGAAAACATTTGATATTTTTACAGAGTGAAATCTACGTTTTCAAATTCAACCAGCTTTGTGTGGACGACGTCTTAGTGCACCTAGGATTGCTAGTGTGAACGTAGCCTAGTATGACAGGCAAATTAGGCACGCTGCCGACACTGGCACAAAAATAGACCCATCGTTACCAAAAGAACACGGCTGAATTCATCAACAAAACTCTAACGAGATGTAAAATCTAGTCGAAACAATTTCTTCGTTCATAAAATTTGAATCTGGAATAGGTTTATGTTAAAACGGCAGTAATAAACATTTCTCGAGTGCTGTTTATACCAAAAATGAAAAACAATCTGTCTACTCTAGTGTTTAGCAAGGTAGCAGCTGAAAGTCTTGTCGCTGTCGGTTTCACGGCCACTAACGAGAATTTACCTTGCAAAATTCATGCTCTTCATGAAGTATTACCCAAAACGGCTACTCGGTTCTCTTACCTCATGTAATGTGTCATGTAGTGTGCACGAAAAGCGAAAATAAAGTGAAAAAAGCTCGTGAGCCAACATGTACGCATTGCGAGCCTATTTTTTCAATGACGTTATCCCGCATACTTATTTATATTAATAGGCCCAGTAAAATGAATAAGCAGTATGGCACTTTGCATAGCTCTTGCGATCTGTACATCAAGAAGTAAAATCCTTAGTGTCGATTATTGGATTCTGCTTCGATTGAGGAAGCTAAAGCGTGGTTGTCTTAGTTCATTTGCACAACTTTCATAACCTTTGGTTTCACTGTTCCTTCGGAATATTGCTTTTATCAATAACTAAGTAGTAAACCCAGTAGAATAGGTTTAGTACAAGAAATGTTGGCAGAAATATCCAACGCGACCATTTATCCAAAGCACTGCTTTCATGCTCCATGATAAATTCTTGTTGTGTCTGCCGGGAAAAGCTGATCTTGTTTTCTACATCACCAGAGGATGGAATGTTAGGTAACTCTCCATTTAATGTTCCCTCAGAGGACGAGGTGCCTTCTTGATATGCAGATTGCTATAAATAGCAAAAATAGATAGTTTTAATGTAGAAGAATTCAACACATAACATTTGAGTCATAGGAAAAAAAAAATAAAAGGCCCGTGTCGCGATAGTGCGCATTCTCCATTTTGATGACCAGTAAAAAGTTTCTAACCTATGGAAATCACACGAAAGCGCTCCTTTATAAATTTGCTAATTCTTTCGTAGCTTTATCATAATCTTTTGTCTTTTGGCACTTGAATGAATGAATGAGCCTTGTATGCATCTTCTCTCAAGGACGTCGACGAATTTCTCTACGATGATCTTCACAGATCGCTTTCACATTGTAAAAAATCCCAAGAAATGACAGAATTCCCCGAGTATGTCAGTTTACAGAGATTTTACATGATAAGGCTAAACCTGTAAAATCTTTGTAAGCGGTAAATTTACAAACATTCTTAGAAGGTTTTGGTAAGTCTGTAAAATATGAGTCCTATTCTCTAGCTGCTACAATTTACAAACATTTTACAAACATTTTGAACTGAACAGAACTAAAAACTAAACAAAGTGTTTGAAAAATAAATTTACAGACATTCTGTTTTTAATCAGGATAAATACCAAGTCTGTAAATTCAGGATCTACAGAAATTTCATAAAGTCTGTAAAAGGTCAAATTTTCCAGTGGAAAATGTTTTGAAGAGTTTTACTGTAACTTTCACAGCTCACGTAAGAATGATGGAAAGGATCTTCTTCACGGTCCAAAACTAAATCGCTGCGAGAGACATGCGCAGAAGAATACAGACGTGCCCTTAACAAATGTTACTTTTACTTGCATAAATTACCTCACTTATTCGCTTATTACCAGGCTTGCTTCTATAGTTAACAAGTGCATATTCAGCAAATGAACCAAATACCAGCAGATAACAGACGACAAGGTACAAATCAAGGGCTCTCATGTACGACACCACTGGCAAAGAGTCCTGCCCAAACCCCATTATCAGCGTGGTCATGGTTAGAACTGTCGTGATGCCGAGAGATACCCGAGCGGGCGCCGAGTTCCTGTCGACGAAGAATGAAAGCCACGAGACGAAAACAACCAGCATAGCGGGGATGTAGATTTTTGTCAAGTAAAAGCTTAAGCGTCGAACCAAAACAAAACGAATACCAAGATATGAGAAGTTGCCTAGGACAAAGGATATATGTTAGAAATTAGAAAATACAATTCCGAGGTGAACCCCAATTTGACTGAAATGTCAGCTATAAAAAACGGGAACCGTTTCCCACTGTTAACCGTCACTTAAAAATTTGTTAATTCATGCAGAAGATGAAAAGTCAAATACTGTAACAATTCGTTTATTGTCAGTTGAAGACGTAAAATATTTCATTATGTCAGTCAATACATTTCGGCCGGACAAGTAGAACAACTCGCGGGGGTGGTATTCTACACAGTTTATTGTCCCTTGAAGTCCATACTAGCGCAGTAACATAACCAGCACACATTGATGAAACTTGCTTCACCTGTTGCATATGTTCTTGTCCCGTTAAGGTAACGAAAGGTCTGCAGTAAAAACTGTGCATTTTCCTTGTCGCCTGTGTATGCTGCGAACTCGTCATTCCAACTGTAAATCAGGTCTCTCGTTGTGAACCCATCTAAAGACAACATATATATAAATATGTATTATTCAACTTTCATACACAGTACGAATTCCGATTTTCTGATTGGCTGATTTCTACAACGTGATACTGACGTCATTATCGTGGTGTAATAGCCGTGGTGTAAATTCAACACACCACTTTCATTTCACCATGGCTTCGGCTGACTCAAATATAGTGGTTTCAATGCAGTGTTTCTTTGTGTAGTGTATTCAATTTGAATAATAAAAATGTTAACGCACTCACTGTTCGTGAATTCTTGGGATTTACCTGTACTCGTTCACCAACAATGAACTCGAAAATTTCAATACCGCACGAGGCAAAGCCTCGTGCGGTATTGAAATTTCTCGTTCATTGTTAATGAACTCGTGCAGGTAAATCCCGATAATTCACTCGCTGAGTGCGTTAACCTGTAAATAATCTATTTCTTTGGTAAATTATATTTCTTGTCTACAATTGGGAGAGTTGCCTTTTAACACATTTTATACCATTATGTATGCTTTCAACACTTACAACTTGCAAAATAAAGATCACAGATCTGTGCATCCATTGGAAACTTCCTGAAGTCCATGTCACATGAGCAGGACAGAGTCAACCTACCAATGACACAATATATATGGGTTATTGACCAAGTGTGAGGTCAAGATGGCTGGATATTGGCCAATTTCTTTCTTTGCGTGTTTATGGACCTCGACTCCGTCTCGGTCCATAAACACGCAAAAAAAGAACGAGGCCAATATCCAGCCATCTTGGCCAAATAAGCTTGGTCAATAAAGGATTTACTATATGGCTTTCGGGGAAATTTTTCTTGCGGGACACGGCGGGTAGTCCCAAGCGGGCAAGATAGCTCCATCTTGCCCGCCCGGGTAGCCAATCACAGCGCAGGATTTGGTTCATCTTACCCACTCACGGAGCTAGCCATATAATAACGACAATTATTTAAAACTGGATCATTGGATAATGCAGTTCAAGAGATTTTATTGGCTTAGCCATAATGATGGTATATGAGCCATTATACCATGCTCTTCAAATCTGACAAGAGTTCACGTGCTTTTTTGGGAAGCTTTTAATCTTGGCAAACGTGATTTTAGTTTTCTATATTTTGGGGGCGAACCACCAAAATATGGATATGAGATGACTATAGCCAACTCAGTGTTAGGCGCCTCGCTGAGCTCTTTGTCAATTCATATCCAACGATCGCTCGTGAAATAACTATTAATTACATTGCGCGGGTGTTCTCAATTTTCCTCAATACACTTGTTACGAAATACCAAAATGAATAGGGGTCCTTGGGCTGTAGTTTCTCAGGAAGAAGCTAGTTGCGTGACTGCAAATAATGTTATGTAAGTGGTAACAGGTTAGTTTTAATCTGTCGATTGTTTTTATCCATTTCGTACTTTCAAAACTGGGAAGAACGAAAACACAAGTTATATCAAGACGTCCAAGACTGTAGCAGAATTCAAAATTACTGGCGCAAAGACTGGCTTTCCTATTGCCATTACTTTATAAAATCTTAGTTTGAATTTGAAAAGATAAAGGTTTTTATAATTCGTCATTCACAGACCTGGTACTGACTAAGACCCGCCCATCAGGATACAGTCGAAGGTACTTATTCAAGACTGTCAAATGGTGTAGTTTTCCACTGAGGCCATTTTCAAAGTACGTGTCCGGTTGCCATACGATCTCCGGCAGTTCACCACTGAAGGTCACTGATTCATTCATGCCAGCGAATGCCAGTCTCGGGTCTTTCCAATACTGACGAAAATACATCTCCATTGAATACTCCTTGGAAGAAAAAGTTGTAACTGATTATCGGAGAAGAATATCTTACATTCTAAGCAATACACTCTTTCCTTTTTATAATAATTTGTTTTAAAAGAATATCCAAGCTGAAATTTGCGAAATTATAAGAATATTTTAAGAATAATCTCGAGGCTGAGGTTCTTAAAAGAATGTAATTTTATGTGTTTAAAATTTGCAAATGCAATTATACAATTATATCTTTTCAACTAAACCGTATAAAATTCTTCCTTTCTCTAAATGGCAAAACTAGCCAAAAAGCAACAAAAACAGCATCAGCCGTGTGTTCGATGCTAATACCATTTCTGCAAGAAGTTATGGGCGTCATATCAGGCTAATGCCTGCAGGCTGGCTTCAAAATTACTTCAACACCATTCAGACACCAAATACATTCGAAAACAGATGTCATACGCTATAATCTATAAGAATATTCACAATAATATTTTCAGCCTAAAATCGACAGAAAAATAAGAAACCCAGTTATAAAAGAGAGTGTACAGCTACCAGACTTCAGGATGAAAGCGAGATTATATAAATGCATATACGTTATTTACCGGCTAGGTCTTGAAAATGCATTTTCAAGCCCGAGGTCACAGTTTTTCACTATACGGACCGACCCTAAGCCGGCAAATAACATGTTTGTTTTTTTTCCTGCAGTAAATTGGTTTTACAGATTACAAATGGGTTTGTTTACGCAGCTCTTGTCATTGAATCGACTTGCGCGCCGTCTACTAACGATTTGTAAAAAATCTTGGCAACGAACGAGGAACTCAGATAGTAGACAAAGAAAGATGTATTAAAGAATAGATTTTTTGTTACGTTCTCCAAAATTATTTTTGCGGTGTGAAATTTCGTGTGAGGTTTGAAGTTTTACTACAAAAACAATTTCTGTCAGTCGTTGCTTTTAAAATCACTTGAAATCAGACTTTTCTACCGTAAATTGAATAGCAGAAAGCGAGGAAATTCGTTAAGTGTATTCCACAGAAATTCTCCTAAATACAGCAACGATCAGAGAGGTAAACTCGACTAAAATTACGGCGAGAGAAACACAGGATTACGCGCCATTACAGCGCCAAGCTACAAACAACCAAGCGAACTCTCACAGCTTCAAAACACTCAATTGAATTTACTTACAGTGACTTTCCTTGCTGTTTTAAAGTGAACAGAGATAAAATTGCGTTGACTAATCGTCGATGGATATGTAAAAAAGGCAAAAGATTGACGGTTACCGCTAACTTTTTGGAAAAAAAAATTCCCCCCCGCGGGCCGTATCGTAAAAAGCTGGACCGCTCACGTCCGTATGATTAGCCAATCAAATTCGAGGATTTCGGATTCCGGCCCAATCAGATGCTTGAGAAAAAAATAAGTATGGGTTATTGACCAAGCTTGCTCGGTCAATAAAGGATTTATTATATGGCTTTCGGGAAAATTTTTCTTGCGGGACACGGCGGGTAGTCCCGAGCGGGCAAGATAGCTCCATCTTGCCCACTCGGGTAGCCAATCACAGCGTAGGTTTTGATTCATCTTGCCCGCTCACGGAGCTAGCCATATAATAAGATGCAATGTTGCACCGGACACGGCAAACCTGTGGCACCACGATAACCCTCATGCTAGTTATGACCAGTTATAATTTATAATGATCCTGAAACACAACTAGAGGTTTTAAAGTATCTCACCATATCGGACTCCCTGAAGTTTCCTATATATACGATGAAAATTCCAACTTTGACTAGCACCGCTCTGCCTGGCAAAGTACATGCATAAAAATATATTAATGCAGCGTAATCAGGACGGGATGTACATAATTACGATTAAACACTTTGAAATGTTCTCCGGCTGGAAACTCTAAAAACGCCGAACTTTCACTGAGATTTGACTCAAATCTTTAAACGTTAAGAATTATCGACTCAAGCAGCTCCGTACTATTAAACTCTTCAGCGAGAGACCGTATTTAAAATTTTTATAAATAAAAAAATCAATGCGAAAACGTTACAAAGACTCCTCGACCTCACAGTAAACAACACTATTGTAGATGTAATGATAAATAATTTATCTTTTGACTTACCTCCAGACATGGGTCGTATAAGCTTTAAATGACGTTTACCCTCCATGCTGTCTAATAGCTTTGTTAAATTTGTTATCGAATCCTCATCAGTGTCTCTAAGCAAAAATAGACCGGTCAACAAGAGATTAAATATACTGCCTCGCACCTGATTTAACTGCCCTTTCCGCCGGGCGTTCTGTTTCGGTCTCCCGTCCCCGTCTATATATACACCTCTACACGACGGAGTTGAAGTAAAGGGTTAGTAAGGAATGAAATCACTACCAAGATCTATTAAACCCGTCTGCCTCACATCCCTGTCTCACGTCCTACAATATGGAGTTTATGTATGAAATTTCATTAACCTAGGAAAACTTGCTTCAACAATTTCCATTATTTCATATATTTTCCATTAAACTATCGAAACCATTTAAGATTTCTAAGATCTTCCTTCATCAATATGATAACACATGTTAAGTGAGGCAGAAGTATGCTCCTCAAATTTTAGTCTTAAAAGCACCAACCCGGAGGCTATAAAATTTCCAAAGAATTAAAGGAAATTTTCAGTTCGAAAGTCTTTGAATATCGCTCTTAAAATTTTTATCATACATTTAAATTAGTTAATATTAGTTATTCGCAACATCTTACCGATAGCACCGACCGGAGACGTTTCAAATGTAAAAACAATATTTTTTCATAAAACAATATGTAATCATAAACGTACTAAGGTAACTGGTGTGCAGAATCACTGTAAAATGAGAGCAACTTTGTGCAGTCGGTAACTCTGTGCTATGAACAATTTTCATTTTGATCAAGTCTTCTGAATAGCAAAAAATATCAATAGACATGGTCGCCACACGCGATGCTAAATTGATTCGCAGAAGCAGCTTTACGTATTGTAAATTTAATAGATAATGACGGAAGTGTTAAGTTTAATGAAAATTTGTTTCCTTCAAGCTTTGTATCGGTAGTGCTTTAAGTGGATTGTTTGCGCGCAGGTGAACACTGTCAACACTGTCTTTGTAACAAAAATAAAACAAACGTTTTAAGGCTTCTCAGCGACTGCTGGATTCAACTGTTCTAAACTGACAAAAATTCAATGGCTTCGCCTTAAAAAAAAGTACTCATAACCTTAGATAGTAGAGTCAATTCGGAGGAGAATACAAACTAATACTCAAAAAATGCTGACGTCTAGAGACTCATTGTAAATTCAGATATCACATACAAGTTTGTAAACCTGTCCAAGTGACCACACTCTGTTCTTTTGAATTCTAGTGCTGAAGATAAATTAGCTACATGTACATCTCTGCCCTTGACCTGTAAAAAATCAATCTTTCCAGACTCACAGTTCATGACTGGTTCGATATTTTTTTACAAGTACTTATTATAAAAAATAAACTCACCCTTCATTTAGTGCCCAACCGCAACATTGGCAAAGAATTACAAATGTCATTATTACAGGAGCAAAGCCCATGATTTCTCTAGATGTCTTCTTTGGCTTCTAGTTAAATGGTTTCCGAGATCGATTCTGAAGCCCTTTCATATAGTGTCTCGTCATTGACGTACAGTAAATTTCGCCAAGATATTCCTGGGTAGTTCTGACTGTACGGGCACTGCAGTATTTAGTCAGCACGCAGGGAACTTGGTCATTCTGCGAGAGCCGGCGAATAGCATGCTAAAATATTAAATAAAGAATGTCAACAGTTTTTAGCTTTTTCTTTGCTTATATGCATTATTCTGACAATTGCCACACAAACCAGGACCCGAACACTTCCGGATCAATTTTCCATGGTCAAAGAAAGGTGCAGAAAATAGTTTTCAAAATTGTTAACAGTTTGATTCCAAGTACCCGTCATTGCACGCCCGCCAGAAATGTCACTGCAATGTGCTTGTAGCTTGTTTTTGTTGTTTGTACGACGACATATTTCTTTGTTTTTCTATTGACTGCCTGAAATAGAAGCTATGTTTCTGTAATGACTGCCTAAAATAGAAGCTGTTATGTTATGGAAATCTGCCAAGCATGTTGCGCAATTTGTACTGAATTAAAAGCCAAGGAATACATTAAGTTTGCTGTTTGCCGGCGCTGATGGTGAAAAATGTCAACAAAGCATTTCAATCAAATTAAAGTGTAAGCCATCTTAAAAGGAAAAGTCCATGCTCGACTATATGATATAGCACGAAAAGAAATGGCATACGACATCAGTTTCGAAAACTTAATGCAGATCCTGATTCCGAATATCGTCCGGTCGCCTCATTAATTTAAAACATATACAAATTTGAGAAATACTGCTTAATGCATCATGCAAAGTTTTCAATGAAGTGATAACTATACCCCAGTACAAAACTGACAGTGCCAGTTTTTGCCCAAAATAGTGTAGCCTGCTTAACGGCAGCCATATAATGATTCACATTACAAAATATGTAATAAGAACGTTATGGGATGAAAAAAAGATTGAAAACCAAACTGACATTCTAAAAGACAGTTTTCCGAGTCTCCTAATTCACATCGAAAACCTACTAGGAAAAAAATGGGGCCTAACAAGATTGTTGATCGTAAAATTAAACGCAAATTACAGTGCATTGCTTTGTTGTGCCGTTTCATCGTTTTCATCCTTACAGCTCAATTTCTCTCAGGTCTACACAATAGGTGCATTGTAGAAAATACCATTAGATGACTTTACCTTTCCTGAAGATCCGTCAGTAAAATCTAATCTTTTTATGAACAGCTAAAACCTCTCCTAGATGAACGTTGCTGCTACGTATACACAGAACATCGTCGCATAACTGTGACGGAGAATGTTCAGCACGATAAATAAAGACTTTAAGACCGAAAACCCCTGAAGTCAAAAACGATTATTACTTTCCAACAAATATCCTGAAAATTATAGGGTTAAATTATTTAACGTATTCATATTCACCGCACTCTATTCAATACTTGATTACAATTTAAAAATCCAATCTCAATTAATTATGTTTAGGATTAATAAAAGTGATAAAAATCAGTCTTATGAAACGATATCATCCACAGAGCAAATGAAAGTCAGCAACATGGTGTATATAAGCAAGGGAAGTAACATAAAGAAGAAATTATATAGTTTTGTTTATCAAGGATCATATTTTGAACTGTTCCCCACGTTCACAGAATGACTATTACATTTTTACATCAAAAAGGAGCAGGTGTGTATAATGTAAAAAGAATGAAAGACTGAAGGGAGAGAATATTTTACTGGAAGAAGTCCCGCGTTGGTTTTGAGAAGCTGACCTTGATTTTCGCCACAAAAAAGAGAAGATGTCACGTAACGTGCAATGCTAATTAAAAGAGTACAATAGTTCAGCTGATAATCAATACAATGAACACATGTCACGAAAGTCTCTATAATGAAAAAAAAGCGAAATAAATATGTCACTGTACATGCTTTCAATGATTGACGAAAAAATATAACCTTGTAAATGGAGCCTTACTTAATAGATCTAGTATGTACATTTAGCTGCTGAATTTGAGGCTCGACTTTTCGTGCTGTAGAGTTTATTTTGCTCTACCTCACTGTGGGACAAGCAGCTTGATTAGAAAAGCTGGGCCATTTGCAGTGGTAGGTAAAGATAAATAATTTGTAGTACGTGCCGTTTCTTGAACTATACCTTTTATTCTATTCAAACTTTTGACAAAATGTCGAAAATTAGTTCGGAACCATACCAAACTGTTTTTTGTTTTACGCACGTACTGATATTTTCCAACATGTATAATGATTAGCATTCTGTGCACCGTCTATCAACAAAAGACAATTTGAATGAAAAAATAAAAATAAAACCACATCTTCTTGATCATGAAATGTAATTACAACCACCAACTACAGTGGCATTAAAAATTACTTATTACAGATAAATAAATAAATGAAATAATAAAGGAAAAGGAAGAAAAAGGAAGAAAGTTCAGGAGGAAAAATAAAACAAGTAAGCAACTAAAAGGAATAATAGTAAGAAGAAATCAATAATTAGTGAATCTCATTTTGAAGTGTAGAATCGATGCATATTTTAACTGGTCTAAGGCAAATACTACAATTGGCTCTTAAAATATAATGCAAAGATATTTCTGTCACTTTTTCAGACTTTGAGCAGTTCACATCATCTAACATAAGCAATGTGGAAACAGCATATTCTGCAAGTAGCGTAAAAATCTCTTCAATCAGCATTTTATTAGTCTAAGGCGTCAAGCTTGGAGGGAAGATTATTATTATTATCAATATTACAAGCTCGTTAAAGAACTCCTACTAACTTAAAGGTATACATAGGTCAATCTTGCAGGCATCGTGGCTTTGTGCAACAGGGCAGAATTACTCAAGAGGTCAACAATAAAAGTAATATAAAATGTGTAATTACCAGCACACGAAGATCTACCTTAAATTTCACTTACACGGTGTTTACAAATAGGTGATAACTTAGCTAACCTTAATAGAATATTCATTAGCTTATAATATTGAATATAGCTCTGACCTGAGTCAGTTTTTCTGTGAATTGTACAGAAACCGACCAAAAAAATCACAGCGCCAGCTGTGAAACAGAGGACAACAAGAATTACATTTCTGCACGCGTGCAAAAGCCTAATAAAAAGAACTGAGTTAGCTATTCGCAGCCTTAACGTAATATTTCCGCAAATCACTGAACTCTACTTAGGACTTCAGTCAATAGAACTACATCGACGACTAAGTAATATAACACTGCAGGACCTTATTTTCCCAGAACTACAGTATAATTACTACCGTTGTTTACCCATGTTTTCCTTCCTTTCCATACTGTCTTAGAGCTCGACCCCCCACGTGATCTGCAAATCTCTGCCACAGCCATTCTCGTTCCCAGAGCCAGCTCGTTTTCGCTTAGCTGTGATGCCAACAAAAAGGCCGCAGCCTCTGGAAATGGTCCTGGGAATGACATTGTGACAGACATGCGCGTAACCTTCAGCTCATGTGTCGCTTGTGATTGTCGGGGGGCAGTCTGATATCTTTCTACTTGGCCAAAAACCCACAGTCCTCAACGTATTTCAGCAGTAAACCGCACCTTTCCCACTTACCAAAACATTCCGTATGGCAAGTTGAATATTGACGTTAAGAAGTATTATCTGTTCACATTGTAGAATACGAAGTTTTTGATTGTAAATATAGTAAGGTCTAGTAAACGCCAGCTGTTCGTTGTCAGAATACTCCATAATAAAGACACAAACGTTTCAAAGTCTGTTTATAATTGTATAGTTAGTGCTATTTCCTTCGATCGAAGTAAACTATTTCTATTTTTTGTCTCGGAAAAACAGAGGACGGTTTTTCTAGGAACATTCAGAAGCATTCATCTATTAATCAACGATCGATAGTGAGCTTCATTTAAAGAAATTAGTCGCGAAAATGCTATTCAAAATTATCGAAACATGTTCTGATTAGCACTGATTCAGAAAAATAACGATTCAAAGACAGGTATAACGAGAAAACTGACTGCTAAATTGGTGTAATAACAAATTAAAGAGCGGTTTGTTACGCGAGAATTTACTCAGAAGTTGCTGCACAGCTGATAAATAGGAACAGAATAATTGC